TCATCTGCGTTTGTTAAAGGAAGGATCAGTAAAAAGTAACTTACTGATGGACGTCAGGATGGGTTTCTTCCTCCATTTCTCAAGTGTAAGTACATGCGATTAAAGTTGTTGCCTCGTTGACTCTAGCTTGCAAATGTATTTAGTTGTGATTTGTTACTTGTAACCGCGTGTACTGTATCAGGTTAACTGGCTATATTCTCTTATCGCGTGCAAAGTCACGTTAAAAACGCGACGCGTGCTGCTTTGTTTACGGAGCTCCGTGGACGAGGGTAGTGTGTGCGTGCGCTGTCGTCCGGAGGTATGTGTGTGTGTTTGTGTGTGTGTGTGCGCGCGCGTTGTTGTCCGGAGGTGTGTGTGTGTTTTAGTGTGTGTGTGTGCGCGGGCGCAAGGACGAGGGCAATATGTGTGTTTGTGGTTGTGTCTGTGAAAAGAGCAGAGTGAGACAAGCTAGGAGATCTCCTTGACAGTTTTTGGATTTTTTGCTCAATAAAATAGTCAGTCGTCTGTATTTTCAAGTCCATCGACTGTATTTACATTGACCCACTGGCAGCTAAAATCCACGCCTACACTATCAAGCGTGTATGAACTGTGATTACTTTTATATTGCTGATTAGCTGTTGGGCATTTCACTCTCTGACTGAAGGCAGTCGACCAATCGCAACAGACTGTCATCGGTCCAATCAGCGCAGATTAGCTTCGCGCTAAGGAGGGGTTTGGGAACAAATGAATCACTGGACGATTCATACGGGAGTCGCTGGGATAATTAGGTAAAAATAAATGCAGATTATAAGACCATGAAAGTGTTTTCTTGCATGCTTATTAGACTGTTGTTGGAGACCCTTACAACCAAGATATGACCTTATTTCATGTATAATATGGGCTCTTTAAAGATACGCTCCACAGTTTTGGAAACATTGGCAACTTAAAGGAAATGCTTATACTCTGATCTAGTAGACAAATATGATATTGGATCCCAAGGGGACTTCTGGAAATACCTGCAAATTAGACATTGCATCAAGAACAAATTTAATGTGAAGGACAATCCTGTATATGCTTATTTACAGTCACCATAGAATGCTAGGACTGCTTTTATGTGCTTAAATTCAGAAGAATGTAATAATCTGAGAATAATCTGCCAGAAGGAGCTGGGGAATTATATTGAGAAGAATGAGTGGCTGGACATAGTTTCCAATGTAGGTAAAAATATAAGGGAAGTTAGAGGAAAGTTCATTCAGTACAAAATAATACATAGATACTACTACACACCATCTAGACCAGGGATGGGCAAACTTGATCCTCGAGGGCCGGTGTCCCTGCAGAGTTTTGTTCCAACACTAGTCAAACACACCTGAACAAACTAATCAGTGTCTTCAAGATCACTTGAACTCTATAGGGAGGTCTGTTTGAATAGGGTTGGAGCTAAACTGTGCAGGACACCGGCCCTCCAGGACCGAGATTGCCCACCCCTGATCTAAACTCTAGGATGGGACTAGCTGGAAATTATCCATGATGGAAATGAAATACACAATAGGGTACTTGTCTACACATCATCTGGGATTGTTGCTTATTTACCCATTCTGGTGTACAATTTTAAGAAAAATGTGACCAGGCTGGGTGTGAGTTACCTGTAGAGCTACGGCTATACCTTCTAGGTGACAAACTAGTAATATGCTCATTTTACATCTCGCCTACAGTTATACAGTTGGGTTTAACACTTTTAAAACCCACTCAGCCAATCTCCAGGGGCCTCATGTACGAAGACTTGCGTGGAAATCTTACTAAAACATTGCGTACGCACAAAGCTGTAAATGTGCGTACGCAGAAAAAATTTCAGATGTATGAAACACTGCGTACGCCGAATCTCACGCATATTCTTTTGTACATCTGAATGAACGTGAAACTGAGCGCAACATGCACGAGCACAAAACCCCTCCCTGCCTCCTCCCCCGTATGAATATGCTAATGACTATGCTAATGGAAAAACCCAACGAAAAAGCAAAGGCAAAAGCAAGCAAAAAGAGAAACTTTGAACAGAATGTGAATTGGAGGTGCTGCTTTCGGAGGGAGACCGGAGAAAAGCGGTGTTATTTGCAAGTTTGTTCACCGGAATTAACAACATAAGAAAAAAATAGAGTGGGAGAGTTTAGCTGATGCGGTCAACACAGTCGGGTCTGAACATCGCACTGAGTGCATTAACAAAAGAAATAGTGTGGTTTGTATCTGTCAAATGTTGCGGGACGCTTAACAGTCTCAGTGGCGCACCTCGTAAGACGCATGTGATCATGAATTGATAAGTTCGAGCATGAACTCGTCTCGAATCCAGCGTCTGACGAACTCTTTCTTTTTTTTTGCCCCGCTACATATCAGATTTTGCCAACTATTTATCACGAGAAAGACAAGTAGGAATCATCAATAAGTTCATATCAATAAGCATCATATTTTATTTGCACATTTATTGAATGGAAATGTTTCTGATTAACTCATGCAAATTCATCTTCAGATAGTGTCTTTATAGCAATGTGCGTGCAGTAGATCGCTCAGATTACTTTGGGAAAACAGGCGACTGCTGCAATTTGCGCTTTAATGTTTAGCTGGTCAAATGTATGGTATGGAAACCTTATATACCTGCTGAACCCGTCTCATACAGCTGCCATTGCAAGGCTCAGACACTTTGTAGAGAGGAATTTAACACAACTGCCTCTAGGAGTCGCCAATGGAAATAAAACAGACACGCACAAAAAATGTGCGTACGCCTGCCAGAAAGCTGCCGTGGAGCTGCGCATATTCCCACGTTCAGTTCATTGTTAGTAAATCCAAACGTGAGCGATTCTGAGCGTGAAACCTGGCGTACGCAAAGTTTTTGTGCGTACGCAGCGTTGATACATGAGGCCCCAGGACTGGCAGAAGCACTTTTAGCTTAGCTTAGCACAAATCATTGAATTGGATTAGACCATTAGCATCTCACTCAAATTCAAAAATTTTCATCTAAACATCGCTCTAGCAGCGTAGACAACATCTGGTTCAGCATTAGGTGTGTGTGTGTTCACTGAAGCATTTTGAGCAGCTGAAAATGCCATTGCTCTTCCAAAAGTGGTCAACCATTACCACTTGTTCAACTGCTGCAGTTTAGAGTGTTTCGTGTACAAACAATGCTTAGTGCCTTGCTAAGGAAAAAACACTGCATCCTTAAGGCTCTGGCATACTTCAAATAAAATCAAAGAATGAACTGAAAAAAGTTTTGCCTTCTCCACGTCGGAGGAAATTCCTTACATCTGGTGAAGGAGATAAAGTGTCTTGGGCATAGGTCTCAAACAACCCTAATCAAACACAGCTGATCTAGTAGTGTCTAGTAGTCTTGAACATCTTGATTAGTTGGATCAGCTATATTTGATTAGGGTTGGAGCAAAACTGCAGAGCTGCAGCCCTCCAGGAATCTTGGGGTTTTGTTCACGAGTATGAGGGATGATTGAACGTGAGATTGACAGGCAGATCGGTGCAGCGGCAGCAGTAATGGGGTCGATGTACAAGTTTGTTGTGGTAAAGAAGAAGCTGAGCTGAAAAGCAAAGCTCTCAATTTACCAGTCAATCTATGTTCCTAATCTTAACCTATGGTCATGAGCTTTGGGTCATGACCGAAAGAACAAGATTTCGGATACAAGAGGCCGAAATGATGGGTGGCAGAGCGCACTCATAAGGAGAGGGTGAGGAGCTCTGTCACCCGAGAGAAGCTCAGAGTAAAGCCGCTGCTCCTCCACATCCAGAGAAGTCAGTTGAGGTGGCTTGGGCATCTGTTTTGGATGCCTCCTGGACATCTACCCAGGGAGGTGTTCCAGGTGTGGCCCACTGGGGAGGAGGCCTTGGGGAAGACCCATGACACGCTGGAGGAACTATGTCTCTCGGCTGGCCTGGGAATGCCTTGTGATTCTGCCCCAAAGGAGCTGGAGGTGTCTGGGGAGAGGGAAGTCTGGGGTTCTCTCCTTAGACTGCTGCCCCTGCGACCTGGCCCCGGAAAAGCGGATGTAAATGAACTAACAAACGAACAAATGAAAAAACGAATGAATGAACAAACAAATTATTAAATTAATTGAATTTATGTGGTTTTACTTTTTTTCAAAGTTCCTTTTTGTAGTTCGTTTGGGCACTCAGCTTTTTCAAATTTCTTTTTTCTCTCAAACATTCATTCATTTTCTTGTCGGCTTAGTCCCTTTTTCGCCACAGCGGAATGAACCGCCAACTTATCCAGCAAGTTTTTACACAGCGGATGCCCTTCCAGCCGCAACCCATCTCTGGGAAACATCCACACACACATTCACACACATACTCATACACTACGGACAATTTAGCCTACCACATTTGCCTGTTCCGCATGTCTTTGGACTGTGGGGGAAACCGGAGCACCCGGAGGAAACCCACGCAAAGGTAGGGAGAACATGCAAACTCCACACAGGAACGACAACTGAGCCAAGGTTCGAACCAGCGACCCAGCGATCTTCTTGCTGTGAGGCAAGCACTATCAGCACTATCTACTGCGCCACTGCCTCGCCCTTCCCTCAAACAATGAATGAAAAAAACGTTCTTTGAGGTATAGGGCCTTCGGTGTATCGCTGAAAAGACATTTTAAACTTCATTTTAGTTCTATTGAAAGAATTCAAATAAACTTTGCCGCAAGCATACAGGTGTGCATTCTGTGTGTGAAAATTACTGGCTGCACTTAAATTAATGGCCACCGATGTCGCTAATAAGAAGGGATTTAGAACTCTGTGTAGAACATAGGTTTAAAACTGAAATCCAGGAGGGCCATAGCTCTGCACAGTTTTAGTCCAACCCTTTCAAACAGAACTGATTCAAATAATCAAGGTGTTCAAAAGAGTCATGAACACCTTCATTAGTTGGATCAGCTTTGTCAGGGTTGGAGCAAAACTGTGCAGAGCTGCAGCACTCCAGGAATAGAGTTTAAGACCTATGGTATAGAGGTTCTTCAAGATAAAGCTTAATATTACCTTCTGGTCTGGGCTTTGGCTTCTCCAAGTCACCATCTTGCATCAGTTCAAAAGAAAAAGCAACATTATGGACCTACATTGAAACATATGATGAAAACCAAAAATGTGATTAAGTGACAAAGAAGAATCAGGAACGATTTTAAAACAGACAGAGGTGCCAATATGGACCATGGATAAGCAGAATTTACAAAGATCCTCTGTGGACTAATACATACAGCCCAGCGGTATTGAAAATCGCCTTTTGCGAAACGTAAAATGTGTTGCTATAGGTACATTTTGTTGCATTAATTGTCGATATAGTCAGCATCGCAACACACAAGCATAATACTGGATTTATGAACTAAAAAGGGGTCTTGGAGTTCTTGGAGCTTCATGGGCTTTAACTTGAACCCCTGTAGTCACACTGGATATTTTGACCAGGTTTTGGTTCCTATTTTTTTACTTTTATAGAATTTTCGTATTAATTATTAACCATACTTTCACAGTAAATAGTAATACCTTGTGATCAAAATGTTCAGGGATGAGGAAGAAGTTATAGAGGGGCACGAAGTATCCTTCCAGGAGCCCCATCAGCAGGACTAAGTACACACCATCAGCAAACTGCAGGAGATTGCAGAACATTGAGATGTCCATATCTACAAGACTGTGGTGAAATATTTTGTTATACCTGAGTTTCCAGCTCCGACACTTCCAAATTTAACTTGTTCAAGTGCTTGTTCACGAATGTTATTAGAGTCTGAAAAAAAAACACAAAAAATATATATAGCAATTTATAGTAAACACTATTGCTTTTATACCATACTATAGTATCATACCCTGTTCATATTAAAGTATTTAAAACACTTTATAATAATGGTACATCATGATATAGTAATAACTTTAGTGAACTGGTCAGCTGAGGTAAATAAATACTGTAATATACACTCCACTTGTTCGGCCACTTTATTAGCTACACCTGTCCAAATGCTCGTTAACCCAAATATCTAATCACATGGCAGCAACTCAATTTAGACATGTAGACATAGTCAAGACGATATGTTGCAGTTCAAACAGAGCATCAGAATGGGGAAGAAAAGTGATTTAAGCGACTTTGATTGTGGCATGATTGTTGGTGCGAAAACAAGCTGGACTGAGTATTTTGGAAACTGCTGATCTACTGGGATTTTCACGCACAACCATGTCTAGGGTTTATAGAGAGTATGCAAAAGAACATCTTTGAGTGCACAACACGTCGAACCTTGAGATGGATGGGCTACAGCAACAGAAGACCACACCAGTGCCAGTCTTGTCAGCTAAGAACAGGAAACTGAGGTTACAATTGGCACCAAGCTCACCAAATTGAAACAATAGAAGACTGGAAAAACATTGCCTGGTCTGATGAGTCTCGATTTCTGATGGTAAGGTCAGAATTTGGCATCAACAACATGAAAGCATGGATCCTACCTGTCTTTTATCAATGGTTTATGCTGGTGGAGGTAGTGTAATGATGTGGGGGATAATTTCTTGGCACACTTTGGTCCCATCAGTACATTCTGAGCATTGTGTTAATGCCACAGCCTACCTGAGTATTGTTGCTAACCATGTCCATCCCTTTATGACCACAGTGTACCCATCTGCGGATGGCTACTTCCAGCAGGATAACGCACCACGTCATAAACCGCAAATCATCTCAGACTGGTTTCTTGAACATGACAATGAGTTCGCTGTACTCAAATGGCCTCCACAGTCACCAGAACTCAATCCAATAGACCACCTTTGTGATGTGGTGGAACAAGAGATTTGCATCATGGATGTGCAGCCGACAAATCTGCAGGAACTGCGTGATGCTATCATGTTAACATGGACCAAAATCTCTGAGGAATATTTACAGTACCTTGTTGAATCTATGCCATGAAGGATTAATGCAGTTCTGAAGGCAAAAGGGGGTCCAACACCGTTACTAGCAAGGTATACCTAATAAAGTGGCCGGTGAGTGCATGCTTCCACTATAGTTATCTGTGATGCATAAAAATATACCCGATATTTGTAGAAAACCCTACTGGTTAATTTATTTATATATATCATTTCTAATATATTTAAATTACTTTTCTAATTAATTTCTCTGACAAGTTCCTCACAAAGTAATTTAATCATTTTAAATTGACTTAAATTGACTAAATTCTATTTTTTTTAAGTATATGCAATTGTATTGATAAATTATATGGGTGTTCTTTTAATTTACTTAAATTTACTATATATATATTAATATATATATATATATATATATATATATATATATATATATAGTTTCTCTGAACTAAATTACATAGATCTGTTGAGTAAGACAAGCATATTATAAGAACTGTAATTAATTTACTTACAAATTAAAGTAATCCTTTATTTTTTCAGCAAAAACCGAATCCTTTGTTACCAATTACACCTAACAGTTTATATTACTAGAGTTGTTGTATTGAAACTAAAGAATTAAAACAACAGAATAATACAAGCACATTACATAGTTCAAAAACCATATATTTACTACAAGTTACTATAGTGCATTTTCATGTGAGAGACTTCAAGAGATCAGAGGGGGAAAAAAAAAATCAAAGCTCTCGAAGTGTAAAGCCTTTCCCAAATAGTGTGTAATCTGCACTTGCCTTTTTCACCACATTCAGTTTATCTGGCGCGTGGTCAAAGAGAGTGTCAAAGGCGTCTCGCTCTGTTAGAGTACAAAAAAAAAAGAGACGAATGCTTAAATGCACCAGAAGATTTAAAGAAGAAGATGTCATTTGTATCACCTAAAAAAGCATGTTAAAATGTACAGTAATCCTGAAGAGTATTTGGACACTAAATAAGCAGTAGATACAAAACATTAAACCAAGCTGCTCCTGCAAACAAATGATTCAATCCCTTTCTCAGAAATGAATACAACATTTTATTTTTTTTTGCTTTCAATAAGTTTCAAGGTGACTGCAGATAATAAAAAATCTGTCCACTGATGAACACGATTCATTGAGGTTTGACAACAATTAAGTGCTCATACACTGATAAAATGATTCTGTGATCAAGTATATCCAACATTCATGCATTCATTCATTCATTTTCCTTTTGCTTATTCTCTGTTTCAGATGTCGTCACAGTGGAATGATCCGCCAACTTATCCATCATATGTTTTACGCAGCGAATGCCCTTCCATTTTCTGGGAAACACACACACTTATTCACACTCAAACACTGCAGTCAATTTCATTCATTCATTTTCCTTTTGACTAAGTCCCTTTGTTAATCTGGGGTCGCCACAGCGGAATGAACCGCCAACTTATCCAGCACATGTTTTACACAGCGGATGCCCTTCCAGCTGCAACCCATCTCTGGGAAATACCCACACACTCTCATACACTACGGACAATTTAGACGACCCAATTCACCTGTACCGCATGTCTTTGGACTGTGGGGGAAACTGGAGCACCCGGAGGAAACCCACGCAAAGGCAGGGAGAACATGCAAACTCCACACAGAAACGCTATCTGACCTAGCCGAGGCTCGAACCAGCCACTGTGGTAATTCAGTTCATTTTAAATACGTTGTTTGAACAAGCAGCAAAAATCATTTTTGGGTGTATTTAATATTAATTAAATGTGCATATTTTGTATAAAATTCATGTATGAAAGTAATTGTTTTAAATTAATTGCTATAAAAATAATTGCATCAAAGTAATCTGTTTATATTATAAATTACTTTACATTCTTTATATTAAAATGAAATTTAAAATCAATCTTTAAATATCTATAATCTAATTAAAATAACATTCATATAAATTACATTGATAGCATATGCAAAATGAAATAAAAAAAACATATTTTACTATATTTCAAAATTACAAATACAAAGCAACACATTAAATGAATCCCGAAATGTTCAAGTAGAAAGACTAAAATTGTGTTTTCTTTTCTGAAATTGTTTTAAAGTGCAACTTTATCAGTAAATACAGTATAAGTAAAGTTTCACAAACTCATTTCGAGAGGAGCACGTGATATGATTGACTGCAGCTGGCCACTCATCTACACTCATTAGCTAGCCAATCAGATTGTTCCAAACTCACTATAAGTAGCCTAGTTAGAACTCCTCCCTTATCTTCGTTTTTCTGAAGAAACCCCCCCATCCACTCATTCTCCTCCTTTCCTCCTTTACCAGGGGAGCTCTCGAGAACCTCCTGATCTCGTACTCCCCTCACATGCTCTATAGACCAGGCGGGAGCCCTGGGCTCAACTACCTCCGAGCTCAGGGTTCTCTCCTGGGACAGCATGCCAAACCTGCTAACAAGTTGTCAAACAATATCTAAGTGTGAACTCTTGAAAGTATATTTATTCATTCATTTTTCTTCGGCTTAGTCCCTTATTTATCAGGGATCGCCACAGCAGAACGAACCACCAGCTATTCCGCATATGTTTTATGCAGCGGATGCCCTTCCAGCTGCAACACAATACTGGGAAACACTCATACACTCTCTCATTGCACACTTTAGTCCATCCAATTCACCTATAGAGCATGACTGTGGGTGAAACAGGAGCACCTGGAGGAAACCCACACAAACATGAGGAGAACATGCAAGCTCTACACAGAAATGCTAATTGACCTAGCCAGGACTTGAATCAGCAACCTTCTTGTTGTGAGGTGGCAGTGCTAACCACTGAGCCACCGTGCCACCCTACAGTATATTTAATATTAATACCTTTTTGAACTGAAAATTTGTATCTAACAATGTAGTGATCTAATATAGTGACATTCGTAACATATGCTAAATAAATACAACACTCACCATATCTTCCAGACAGTGCCCTGTGGGCAATTAAAAAAAAAACATCATTATTTCAGTATCAATTTAAGCAACAATAGAAATCAACAATCTATTTACATCTGAATGAAAGGGTTTTTGCAAGCAGCCGCTAAATGGCAAAATAACAACCAAATTCAGAGGGACGTATCAAGAGTGCCAGGATGAAAGGCAAACAAAGAGATTATGAGGGAAGGGGAAGCTTGGGTCCCAGGAGCGGCCGATCAAACAGAACCGGGCTCCAGGATTTGGCCTGGTGGACGTTTGCCTGCGCAGAGGCTCCAATCAGCAGCTGCTGCCCGAGTCCACATCCGCAGCCAAAGAGAGCGGCTCTCTGCCTTCTCTCCCCAAGCTGATCTGAGGCCGCTGGAGCGCAGTTAATGCTGGCAGAGCATCAGCCTCAATGCTCAACCTCCAGAAACACAGACTTACAGCACGGATAGACCACTGACCTGTCCCTGCATGATCCACTCACTGAACCCCTTATATCCGAGCATTTTAACCACATATGCACATACTTGAAAGAGTTTACAGTAAGGTTTAATTTGCTAACATGAATTTTACTGCCAAAAATGCTTCTCTTACTTTTTAAAAGTTGTCGCCTTGTTTCTAGTCCAAATTATTAAATCAAGAAGCATTATCTAGACAAGTAGAAAATATTGTTCAAACAGTTTTTGCAACAAATACTTGATAATGCTTGACTATTGTATTCAGTGTGTTATAAACGTGATTTTGTTTTCATTGTAATAATTTATCATAAAAAAAATTACAGTGCATTATTTAATTTGATTTTAAGTAATGTTTTCTGTTTATTTTTAAATATTAAGAAATAAATTAGGAAATTGCCCACGGCAACTTTAATGTAAAATAGTTCAGTATATTTTCCTTCGGGCCACAGCTCTCCATGATATTTGTTTTTTGGCCCTTCATACAAAAAAGTTTGGGCACCCTTGGTCTATAATAAAAAATGTTTAAACAATAAAAAAGAAGAAAATATTGCTATGTTTTCATAAATAATAAGTCAAAATAAAGTGATTTTTTCCATAAAACAAGGTAAATAATCTGCAGGTGGAGCAAGTTAAATAAACTAATTGTGAACTGAAAACGGGATCATTTGTATTGTTTAATAGTTTTAAGACAACTTTGATAAAAGGTTTTGATCCAGTTGAAATGTTGCCTACTGTACGAGTTGACCATGACTAATTTCTCACTAAATTAGTTTAAAAATAGAGACATATTCTGAGAAATAAATTTGTATCACAAAAAATACAGTTTTAGTCAGCTTTTCTGAACTGATTCACACAGAACTGTTGTATTTATGTATGAGGTAAATTACCTGATAAAAGTCTTATCGCCTATCAATTTTTTAGGAACAACAAATATCAATTTGACTTCTAGTGGATCATTTAGTATCATAAGTGATTTATATGAAAAGCAAAGGCCTCTAGATTATGCTTATTATACCAAAATAAAATATGATCATGCCTTGATTTTTTTATTATTTAATTAGGGCAGTAAGGTCTGACTGTGCTTAGACAAAAGTCTTGTCACTTAAAAGAAATAATGTACAGTATAGAATATAAAGTCATGCTGGAGTGGAAAAAAAATGAATATTGTGTCTGACTCTCATGAGCTTGGAGGACTGCATTCATACATCTCTGCAGTGACTCAAATAACTTATTAATAAAGTCATCTGGAATGGCAAAGAAAAATCCACCTTCTGCCACTTTTCCAAATGTTCAACCAGAAGTCAAGTTATTATGTGTTGCTCTTACAACTATGATCAACAACAAGGTTTTTTTAGGTAGTGTATGCTGTACATAATTATAAAATTAAGTCAACTTAACAGTTGCCACAGGTTTGATCACTTTTTTTAAAGTGATTAACTGAAAATTTACTTTTTAAAATGTTTTGGTTTCTTTTTCTGCGCAAAATTAATTTAATTACTGTGTAACGCTTCCTGATTTTATATTGTTATATATGCTGGGGTGGAAGACTTTTCTGTCATTAATTCAAACTAGGAAGTCAAAAAAACTAGTTACTTTGTGCCTATTTACATTACAACCAAGACTACATATTAGGTGTGTTCACAGCATATCACAATTGATTTAGCTACAATATTCTGGCAAGTAAAAAGTGTTCACATCCTCATATGTTTACAAAAGATATATTCAGACCCATATTTATCTGCTTGTCTGTCATGCCATTACGTTTGTCTGTTCAGTGCAATCTTGTGACTGAATAATGCGCAGGTTAATGTTTGCTCCGTTTCATTTCTATCAGCTTTGCCTTCAATTTAAGATTTAATAAACTTGTATGGCTTAGAACAATGTTTTGTGTCTAATTTTACATTTTGCATCAAGTACCAAAGTACCAAAAAAGGGGTAAAGTACATCCAGTTATTTTCGACTTTCAGCCGTCCACTTTATTCAGTGATAACAACCCCCTGGATAAACTTTAACCCTTACTTAACAACTATGCTAATTTGAATCTTTGTGGAATTTTGATAGCAATATTTATATTATTTATTATGAAAAATAAAAGAAACACATACTCAAAGTTGCCTGTAATTTCCTCCTGTATCTGCCGAGACTGAAGTATTCCCTCTCGTTTCTGTTAGGATAAAGAAATACAAATTTACCATAACTGTAAAATAAATATACAGTTATGGCCAAAATTATTATCCCTTTTCTTGTTTAAATATATGATGTTTACCAGAGCAAGAACTTTTTTACAGTATTTCCTGTAATATTTTTTTTCTTCTGGAGGATTTTTTTTTTGTTTTATCTCGGCTAGAATAAAAGCAGTTTTTTTTAAAAACAACAAAAAAGGTTAAGGTCAACATTATTTGCCCCCTAAAGCCTAGTTCACACTACAGGATTTTAAACATTAGCAGATCGCTGTGCTGTTCACACTACATGACTTGACTTTGTGTCTTTTAATCTCTGTGGTGTTCACACTACGCAACACTCCGTGGACGATCCACAAGAGGGGGGTCACACTCTACATGATCTGACAACAACTCATTCCCCAACAGCTCATTCAAGCTAACAAACCACAGCCAATGAAAATTTGAGGGAGGAGTCGTCAGAAAAAGCTGAACACTATTGGCTGCTTGTGTGCTGATTACATCACTGACAGCGTTTCAAGCTTTGGAGAAAGCATTTAAAAACATCGTCAAATCAGCTGATTTATGAGCGGAGTAATCACTCATCTGCAGGTTCCAGTGGATAGATACACAGAGAGTTTTTAATTCTGGTAATTTTATAACTCTTTGAAATAAAACTAACATATTTATAACACCCTGCCGTTTTCTAACTATCAGTGTATTTCTTTCTGACATTGTTATTTTTTTATTACAAAACAGTAAAGAACTGAGCATTTCTGCCTTAAATTACCATATTGGTCAACATGACTGCATGCATGTCTGATACTTTTCACTGTGACTTTAAATATGTGTGCATTTTCCTGCCTGGCAACTTCCTGCTAACATAAACAAAACTTTCTGATGGCAAAAATATCAATTTACTTCAGATATCTTTCAAAACAGCATATTCTGTGTTGTTAAATAGCTCCTGTTTGAAAGTGAAAATGAAAACCAAGACCTTTGCATGTTCTAGTATCTTAGCTACATATTTATAGGCTGTATTACCAAAGAAATATTACATTTTTAGGGTAATGGTGTCATTAAATATGATGCCAGACATTCAAAGCTTAATTTTAATATCTCAATAATAGCTTTGAATGTAAATATGTTGTGACAGTATGGCGTTTTATATGAGAACGGTCAGAATAAAAGTAATTCTAAAAGTAATTCTAAAAAGTTACAGAATTCTAGTTCCACTGTTAATATATCCTACTCTCATGTCTGTGTTAACGCAGAATGAAGCGAGTGCGTTGATGCCCATTCTGACCAATCACAGATGTTTCTGCTGAGCTCCTGAGCACACAGGCATTCAGCTCATGCTGATATGCTCTCTCATTGGCTGCAGCTCGTCACTACATCTGACCACACGTGGGGTTGAGTCGGCCGACTGCTCTGGAATATTTAGCATGCTGAATGTTGGATTTCCGTCTGCGAGGTGTCGGCGACGCGTCGGCGAGCCTCGTTGATGCGTTGCTCAGTAGTTCACACATAAAGAGCGGCGAGCGCCGAGTACCCGCAGATTTCTTCCCGATCACAGCCCGATCTGTCGGCGAGCTCGTTAACTTCCAAATCGGGCTCAAATCAGGCTTAAAATCCTCTAGTGTGAACTAGGCATAACTGGCCTAATTAAAGTAATTAACCCTTTAAATGTCACTTTAAGCTGAATACTAGCATCTTCAAAAATATCTAGTCAAATATTATGTACTGTCATTATGGCAAAGATAAAGAAATTAGTTATTAGAAATTAGTTATCAAAACTATTATGATTAGAAATGTGTTGAAGAAATCTGCTCTTCATTAAACAGAAATTGAGGGGAAAATATAATTCAGGAGGGATAATAATTCTGACTTCAACTATATGTATTATTGCAAAATCATTCTTGTTACCTTTTTAAATTGTTTCATAAAACAGCCAATTATATCATCAACAACATTAAGTGTCTGTAACACAATATAATAACTGAGAGCAAAGTAAACGAAAAAAAGATCAATTATGAATGGAAAACAATACCTGGACCACAACCACTTGGATGGACACATGTTCGGGGAGTCTGATAGGGGCCCGGAAATGCTGAGAAATAGCCACCAGCAGGTGAAGAATGGCCACAATATTCTTAGCATGAACAGCTGAGAAACACAGCAAAGAATAAACAGCAGGCTTACATGTTTTTTTAATCTCAGTGTGATGCTAAATATATTGAACATCCATCTTAATGCAAAGAATTACAATATGTCAGCAGTTAAGCATCCTTAACTCTGTTATATATTTATCATTAGTTCTAACTTACAGAATTATGGCCAACAGAAAAAACTACATTTAATTTATTCAAAGAAATATATATAAAAATGTACTAATAACTGCATGAATAAAGCAATATTCATGAGAGGATAATGTTGTTTATGCATTTTTAAAAATGCAATGCCGATTCCAATTTCAAATGGCGGATTTCAGGCAATTCATAAAATCTGAATTCATTCGTTCATTTTCTTTTCGGCTTAGTCCTTGGAACAAATAGGTTATTTTTAAATTTTTGTTGCGCTCAACAAACAACCAAATGAACAGAGAATGGTCTCATGACCTTTAGGGTTAACTTCACACCTTTCTTCAAATTTCAGGAGGTAAAATATTGACCCTTAAGCATGACCAAATAACCAGAGATGGGTCTCTGGACCTTAAGGTTAAATTTCTCTAAATTTCAGGAGGTAGAATATTGACTAGATAATCATGCTGACACTACAAACCTCAAATGTGTGCTTTGCAATCAGAAATAATGTGCAACTAGCTGAGAGAGAAGGTGGACCTGATCAACTCTTACCTAATAGGCCGACCTTTGACCAGCACCCAAATTTTGACTATAAAAATTAGGGTTTCTTGCTGAAACATTGGAAGCTCAGCCGTGGGATAAGCGCGCATTGCCCGGCATTCTCAGACACACGTGTTGGTTTTCCAATGTGACTGCAACGGGCTCCCCAGTCTTTGAAGAGGAAAATGATGGCACGTCTCTGAGGTGGTATATTTACATTTACATTTTTTACATTTAGTCATTTAGCTGACGGTTTTATCCAAAGCAACTTACAAATGAGGACAAGGAAGCAACTTACACAACTATAAGAGCAACAATGAATAAGTGCTATAGGCAAGTTTCAGGTCTGTAAAGTCTTAGAAGGAAAGTATTAGTAATATTTTAGTAATTTAGTAAATTTTTTTTTTTGTAATTTTTTAGTATTTTTTTTTTTTTTTTGGGTACAGTTAGTGGTATATTCAGAGAGGCAATTGCAGATTAGGACGTGAAGTGGAGACTAAATAGTTGAGTTTTTAGTCGTTTCTTAAAAACAGCGAGTGACTCTGCCGTTCTGATGCAGTTAGGGAGTTCATTCCACCAACTGGGCAGATTGAACGTGAGCGTTCGCGAAAGTGATTTCTTCCCTTTTTGGGATGGAACCACGAGACGACGTTCATTCACAGAACGCAAGTTTCTGGAGGGCACATAGATCTGCAGAAGTGAGAGCAGATAAGAAGAAGCAAAGCCAGAAGTCGCTTTGTAGGCAAACATTAGAGCTTTGAATTTGATGCGAGCAGCAACTGGCAGCCAGTGCAAACGGATGAGCAGCGGAGTGACATGTGCTCTTTTAGGTTCATTAAAGACCACTCGTGCTGCTGCGTTCTGGAGCAGCCGAAGAGGTTTGATAGAGATAGCTGGGAGCCTGGCTAGTAGAGAGTAGCCGTAATCCAGTTTGGAGATATACAAATACACAGTATATACTTGTATCAAATTGCTTGGGGTTTCATTATCTGTCTTTTATTCATGTAATCTCATCTTTATTTCGCGTTATAAGCCTTTTATGCAATTTTGTTTGTATTTTGATTAAAGATGTTTACGAGTATGGTTCATGATTATTGAATATTATTGTGATAATTGATATCAGCTGTGTATACCAGCAATAAACAGTTCTATTGCTTGATTAGTATGGTGTATGGACCGTTATTGGTGCCTTCTCTTGTCGATTAGCACCACACTTGTCTCACTTGCATATACACAAACCATACTAAAACCTTTTTGGTGTGCTGAAACATTTTACATACTAAAATTTGGGGCATACTAAAACGGTTCCTTTATTAATCTTGGGTCACCACAGTGGAGTGAACCGCCAAGTTATCCAGCATATGTTTTACGCAGTGGATGCCCTTCCAGCTGCAACCCCTTCACTGGGAAACACCCATACACTCATACTCACAGGCATACACTACGAACAACTTAGTTTATTCAATTCACCTATAGCACATGTCTTTGGACTGTGAGGAAAACCGGATCACCCGGAGGAAACCAACGCAAACACGGGAAGAACTTGCAAACTCCACACAGAAACGCCAACTGACCCAGCCGGGACTAGAACTAGCGACCTTCTTACTGTGAGGTGACAGTGCTAATCACTGAGCCACCGTGTTACCCATGCACAAATTTATCATACAAATAAAAAAACAGAAAAAAGCATCCCAAAGCTACATACATTCAACATTCCATCTAATGTTCCTGGAGGAAACTTTGAGAGTGTCATTGATCTTCTCCAGAACAGTCTGCAGCTTCTGTTTCTGAGCGATCTCACACTGAGTCACCTCAGCCACGTTCAGCTTCTCTCCCTCCAGTTTCTCTGTGGACAAATACACAGATTATTAGTGACACAAACAACTACTGGCACAACAACACAGAAGAGAATCCTCACCGAAGAGCTTTTGAAGAACCTGCCCATCATAGAGGTCTTCAGCCAGATCCTTTACGATGATTCTTTCTCCCACCAATACATCATTGATCCAGTCAATGAGCACCTGCCAAAAAACACCAGAGAGAACATTGCGGCTTCTAGCCTTTAATCTTGATACTAATAAATAAATGGCTATGCAACTGGCAACCCAGGCTCATTGTGGATCCTTACCCCTGTATTTATTTCTGAAGAGCACAAAATACGTACCAGGAGCTATGTTTTTTTTGCAGTTTTTGTTTTGGCCGCTGTGTACACTTTTTGAGATCTCAAATGTATCTCACAAGTGCCATTCGCGCCTTCTCTTCTTGCATAAATCCACCAAAGGCCGCTGTCGACTGACTGACTGATGTTTAATTAATTCCTTACATTTATATAGCGCTTTTCTGGGCACTCAAAGCACTTTACACACAATGGGGGGAATCTCCTCATCCACCATCAGTGTGCAGCATCCACCTGGATGATGCGACGGCAGCCATTTTGCGCCAGACCGCACACCACACACCAGCTGATTGGTGGAGAGGAGACAGCGATGAAGCCAATTGGAATATGGGGATGGTTAGGAGGCCATGACGGACAAAGGCCAGTGGGCAGATTTGGCCAGGATGCCGGGGTTAAACCCCTACTCTTTTCGAAGGACATCCTGGGATTTTTTGTTAACGACCACAGTGAGTCGGGACCTCGGTTTAACGTCTCATCCGAAAGACGACGCTCACTGAGCAGTATAGCGTCCCCGTCACTATACTGGGGCATTAGGACCTACACAGACCGCAGGTTGGACGCCCCCTGCTGGCCTCACTAACACCACTTCCGGCAGCAACCTAGCTTTCCCATGTGGTCTCCCATCCAGGTACTGACCGGGCGCAGCCCTGCTTAGCTTCAGTGGGCGACCATGTGAGAGTTGCAGAGAGCTAGCTGCCGACCAACCGATCGATATTGTTTTCAAAAGCATCGGTTGACCTGTCCACTACCTTCCCTAAACCCAACCGACAGAGCAATTCAGAAACAGAAAAGCCCTCGCAGCCGCATGATTTATACTACGTTTTTAGATCTTACCATGTTCTCACCCCTGGGCTTAATTTGTGCAGGAATACGCAGAATCAGCATTTTACTGATCCTCCTCCTCAACTGCCCCACTCTGCCATCCGCTGTTCACTTCCGAGACTCTACAACCATCTTCACTTTCGTCTGCGACAAATGCCTCCAAATCATGTAACGTACGTATCTGTTATAGATCAGTGCTTGTAATAGTGTATCTCTCAGTTTAAATCTGTATGGGCTATTTCACATATCAAGTCTGAAAACCATGTTGAAAATGTGATGCGCGCTTCTTCCTTTACCGATTTAACGCAGTCGACCAATCATAGCAGATTAGCCTCACGCAAAGGAGGGGTTTGGGAACAAATGAATTTCTGAACCAATAATATGGGAGTCATTGGGATAATTAGGTAAAAATAAATGCATGTTATAAGACAATGAAAGTGTTTTTTGACCCTGCATGCATATCAGCCTGTTGTTGGTGACCCCCCAAAACCAAAACATGACCTTTATAGGGGTTCTTCAACTAATATGTATTTACACTGAAATTAATAATTTATTACAATCTACTTCAATCTACAATCTAAATGTTTCACATTGTTTGATTAAATGTCTGCGTGTAACTGCATCTGTAATTAATTTATGCAATCCCTTTCACTATAACACACTCTTAAACCGACACATACCACCCAGCATGTCCCTAACCCTAACCATGGTACCAGTGTCAGGGTCCTTCCGCAAATGTGAGATATGACCGATCTAAACAATATAATCCTGACATTTCAAAACATATGTACGACTCAAATATTTGTCATGGAAGATGTCAAAGGATTCAAGGAAAAAATGTAGTTCTACATTCAGATTGGAGTTGGAGTTACCTTCATTAGCTCTTGTAGTTTGGGATCATTCCTTGAGTGGGGATCAACCATGGTTCGGACTTCATTCTCATCTTTTAAGTAGAAAAAACAACATCAGAGTTCACCTCTGAATGATAATGTTAAGATAATGCTTAGAAACTTTACCAAGCATGGTGTCTTCAGGGTCCAGCTCAAAGGGTGTGGGACTCAGAGGCAGGTTGATCGCATTCATACCCTCCTCCTGAAGCTCAGACACTACAATAATAATAATAATAATAATGAATCACTGCATCATTAACATAAACAATTATGCACATACAGTTGAAGTCAGAATTACTGTATTAGCCCCCTGTTTATTTTTTCCCCCAATTTCTGTTTAACGGAGAGAAGATTTGTCAACACATTTCTAAACACATAAGTTTTAATAACTCATCTTTAATAACTGATTTATTTATCTTTGCCATGATGACAGTAAATAATAATTTACTAAGATATTTTTCAAGACCCTTCTAAACAGCTTAAAGTGACATTTAAAGGCAGGATAAAGTAATTAGGTTAGTTATTGTATAACAATGGTTTGTTATGTAGACAATCGCAAAAAAAAATAGATAGCTTAAAGGGGCTAATAATTTCGACCCTAAAATTATTTTTTAAAAATTAAAAACTGCTTTTATTCTAGCCAAAATAAAACAAATATGACTTTCTCCAGAAGAAAAAATATTATCAGACATACTGTGGAAATTTCCTTGCTCTGTTAAACATCATTTGGGAAATATTTAAATAAAAAAAAATTCAAAGGGGGGCTAATAATTCTGACTTCAGCTGTATAACTACATTGACATTTCTATTACATTTACATTATTGATGTTTAATGTTATGAAAAATCATGCAGCATCAAATGCAGAATCATCTAGGAATACTGGATCAGCTGTAAGAGCTATTTTTAGGTTGTTCATCTCATCTGGAGGTCAGTTATTCAGTATTGGTTTTACCGTGGAGGGGGCTATTCAGAGGGTCTCATTTAATGGTATGCATTCATCCCTGAACACGTTCAGGTTAACAAAAGAACTACAACTTGGACCTTCAGTCAATATCTTTCCTTTTTTTTTGTTCTTACATCTCTAAATTGAATGTATTTTTACACTATGCATTTTAAAACGTTTATATATGTACTTTTTTTCATTTCTATACTTTAAAAGAAAACTTAAAAGAATAGTTCACTTAAAAACTAAAAATCTGTCATCATTTCCCCATCATTCACTTTTTCCAATTTTTTTTCTTCCTTTGAACACAACAGATTATATTTTGAAGAATGCTGATTGATTCTTTTTTTCCTACTATGTAAGTCAATGGTTCACAGCATCCAGCATTTGTCAAAATATCCTCTTTTGTATTTAGACAACTATAAAGTAGAGAGTAACAAACAAGGTCATTTTCATTTTTGGGTGAACAGCCCCTTTAAGTATAAATTGTAATATTTTGCACCTAATTGTGTGATTAACAATCCTATGAGAATGTATGAAATTAAATATGTGTGTTAATTTCGATAAAATAAACTTTGTTAATTAATTCATACACAAATTATTAACTTTCCTTTTTGGCCCATCTTCGTACTATTACTGTCTTTAAAATATGGCCTGCAAAATGCAGATAAAACTTATTTTCTGTGTTGAATTTGCATGTTCTTCCCGTGTTTGTGTGTGTTTCCTCCGAGCGCTCCGGTTTCCCCCGCAGTCTAAAGACACACGCTATAGGTGAACTGGATAAAATAAATTGGCCGAAGTGCATGAGTGTGAATGAGAGTTTTATGGGTGTTTCCCAGTACTGGGCTGCAGTTGGAAGGGCATCTGCTGTGTAAAACATTTGCTGGCTAATTTGGCGGTTCATTTCACTGTCGCGACCCCTAATGAATAAAGGGACTAAACCTGAATGAATGAATGAAGTATAAGTCTTACAGATGTTGCACAGGTTTGTTTGTGGGAATAGCCACATAGTTCAAATTATTTTTATTATTATTTATGTTTTTATGTTTTTATTTATGTTTTCATAAAAAAATTGAATGTTTTTCTTTTGTTTGAAAAGTCATTAGAATATTAATTAAAGATCATGTTCCATAAAGATATATTTGTAAATTACCTTCTATAAATATCAAAACTTAATAATTTGGACAACTTTAAAGGGAATTTCCTCAATATTTAGATTCGTTTAACCCTCAGATTACAGGTCGTCTAATAGTTCTATCTAAACAGATATTATCTAGCAATAGAAAGATTATTCTTTCAGCTTTCACTTGAGGTGTAGATCTCAATTTCCAACACTGATACCAATATGAATGGTTTTGTGGTCCAGGGTCACACATTATCTTAAAATACAGTTTAAATATATTTATTATTTAGGATTTGAAGTGCATGAAACTGCACTTGTACGGCTAAGCATACTTCTTTTCCAAAAGAGCACATGAATATGCTGTCAGTGGTAAATGGTAACATTGGCCAGTTTGCTACTGCTAGACACTGGATGTGTAACTGTCAAACCCATTAACCAGATATGTAATGGTTAGTGCTCATTTTTGTCCTACTTGAGTACTTGTCTTTAATATATAATCTGCAAAAATGTAACAAGTGAAATTTAAATGCTACAGTATATGTATTTTCGATTGAAACTTGCAAAATTTTTAACCAAATAGTTTTGTAATTACTCATTTCTAATGGTAAACTACACAAATCATTAACAGGAAATCCAATATTAAAAACCAAGTAGAAGTCTTGTTGCACAGGTATAATTTTGGAAATAGCCAAAACACAGTGTTTGAGTCAAAATTATCGATTATTAGTTGTTGTTTTTTGCCAAAAAAATCATTCAAATATTAATTAAAGATCATATTCCATGAAGAATTTCCTTCTGTGAATATCAAAACTTAATAACAGTTTGGACAGTTTAAAGGGGATTACTTCAATATATTAATTGTTTTAACCCTCAGATTCCAGATTTTCTGTCAATGGTAAATAGTAACATTGGCTGGTTTGCTACTGCTAGACACCGGACGTATAACAGTCAAACCTATTTACCAGATTAGTGCTGGTTAGTACTTATGGATTAGGTCTCTAAAATCTCGCTGTTTCATTGAATCTCTCATTTAATTGACCCTGTGAATCAGTACATGTGGTTTCTGGACTGGCCCTCATGCAGTGGATCTTCTGAACACGCTTCTCAGTCTCCGTCTGTCCGGTCAATACTGGCCAATCACTAAAGCAATGCTGCAGAGAGGCAGTCCAAAAGAAGAATCGGTACAGATCCCTAGAGATATTGACATCCTGTTTTTAATCAGCTCTGAATCCTGCCATAGCGGCTTGTAACATGCTTTAAATGCGGTCAGTCGAGGGCAACGGGAAGCAACTCCTCGGTTTCCCGATGAACTCACATGCGCATAACAACTGATTTACAGGATTTTTCCTCTCTCTAGCCAGATTGAACTTCCTGTTGTGGCTTGTGGTTGTTTCTGTTTTAAACCCAAAAATAAACACAATAAACTTTTTTTCCACATTGTGCATCATTGGGTACACAGCTTTTAAGACCGTTTCCTCCTCAAAAAAAATTAATAAAAATTGAAAAATGACTTTTAATTACGTTTTAAAGTTAAGGTCTTTGTACACTTTAGTGCAAACATTTCAACCCAGGCTCATTCTGATTATATACCTCATATACTTTTCTGGAGACAGTAAAATACGTCCCAGGAGCTATGTTTTATTTTTTTTCCACAAATGCACCAGAGGCCGCTGTGTATGCTTTTTCAGTTCTCACATTTCTCTCACAAGTGCCATTAGTGCCTACAGTTCTCGCCTTAATCCACCAGAGGCGCTGTCGACTGACTGACTGATCAACCGACCGATACCCCCACCCTTCCCTAAACCCAACCAATAGTGTTTTAAAAAGCACCGATTGACCCGCCTTCCCCCTTCCTTCAGTGTTTTCAAAAGCAATTCAGAAAAAGAAAAGCACTTGCCTGATTTTTACTACGTTTTCAGATTTACATTCTCACGCTGTTATGTACTTGCTAGTTTTATACTTTGGCTTTTGTCATACCCTCTTTCTGGAACCAATCTTCACCGAACTCCAACCCTGTTGTCACGGTCAACTTCCTCTGCATCTCAAGTGCGCAGACCTACATGCCGAGCTACCGGAAAAACTGGTAACAGCGGAAAAGCCGTCATCATAGAGGTAAATGGTAAGCTGGTAAGCGATAAAAGAAACGGCTTCATACTACCCTGTAGCGTTCATTTTAAAGGTGAAATACGCTCCTCTGGCTACATAATTCTCAATCTCCAGAAACTTATATAGGGCTATGTTTTCAGAATGAGCCTATTTTAGAAAATTTCGCATGCGATTTTTCCGTATTCATATAGTGATATTTGCTGAAGTCTCAACTGATACACTGTAGAAAACATTTTAGGGTTTATTTCCAGCAGCTGGGGTGCTGAAACAAAACGTGAAATAACGGCCGTAAATAACATAAATATTCTCTAAAATAACGGATGTTAAATTACAGAAATTTCCTTAAATTTAATTTTCTGGTAAATTTCTGTAATTTAATATCCGTTGTTTTACGGTAAATTTCTGTAATTTAACAGCTGTTATTTTACGTTTTTTTTCCCAGCTGAAGGAAATAACCCTAATATTACAGAATTTTTTTTACAGTGAAGCATTCGTTATTTTGCCTTTCACGTGTGCAGATTACATCTTTTCGAAAGCAAAAAATGTAAAAAAAATCAAACCTAATTAAATCTTTTGTATAAAGGATGAAATTTTCGGAGGCAGCGTGTTATTTTGATTGATATAGGGAGGTCGAATTTATTTTTTAATGTGCGAAAATTACGGACAAAATTTTGGACTGCATTAACCGGAAGATGCAACTTTTTTATTTTTTTATTTTTTGTCATATTGTGACAGTTTCTAGAGAAATGAAATATTAAATGAGAAAACAGTGGTGTTGGCTTGTTTTTTCTGCTGTGAGCTGATTGGATGTAGTAAAGAAGCCTAACAGACACCTTCTCCTCAACATTTCTGTTTGTTGTCAAAATTGACAGTTGGAGGGGCGTGGTTAAGTATGTTAGCCACGCCCAATACCTCAGACAGTCGTAGTCTGACAATTTAACTGAAAACAAACATGAAGAGCATTTTTTCAAGGGCAAACTATTTTACAGGGGGAAACTTTGCTTAATGACATGTCATTCATTCATTCATTCATTTTCTTGCCGGCTTAGTCCCTTTATTAATCCAGGGTCACCACAATGAACCGCCAACCCATCTCTGGGAAACATCCACACACACATACACTCATACACTACAGACAATTTAGCCTACCCAACCTGCCGCGGTTTGAACCAGCGACCTTCTTGCTGTGAGGCGACAGCACTACCTACTGCGCCACTGCCTCGCCACCCTATAGTCAATGTAAGAATAATAACAGTGTTCTGTGTGTTGTCCTGAAATGCCATACAAAAATGTGTTTGAGGATAAATTACTATGCTCTCTTGAATCAATTTCAATTTACTGCAAATTCCTATTAAACCTAAAATAATCATTAATTAAGTTAGGAAAAGTTTAAATGAACTACAAGCGTATTTAAAATCTGTATTTACAGTATGTTACATGACACACAAGTGCTCTTCCCTGTGAGCATTTAAGTTTATTATAGCCAACAGTGCCATAATTTGTTCATGGAGTAAAATAAATAAATAATATTTAGTAAAATTATTGGGATTCATATGAATAATTTAATTATTTGGAGTCAAGATACATGGAATCAAAACAAAGCTGCTGTTATCAAAGAATGATGAAATATTTGAGATATGTGTAATGTTTTCTCCTGCATATCACCACATACATAAACATCTCACAATGAGTATTTAACAACCACTTCTCTTCCTTATATGGACACATCAGAGGCATGCAGCCTTTGTAAACACTCACATAGCTAAACACAAACGTACTGTATAACTGTATACAGCACGATAAAACCTATTGTTGAAAGAAAGAAAGAAAGAAAGAAAGAAAGATAGATAGATAGATAGATAGATAGATAGATAAATAGATAATAGATAGATTAATTATTAATTAATAGATTATTTTAAATAATAAGAAACCTAAATAAACTATAAAAAGGTGACATTCGTACAGTATTCAGAATGTTATTATAAGACCGTAAATGAATCAAATGAAATAAATTGTTCTAACAGGTTACCGACTGAAACATTGATCTATAAGCAGATATTACATGCATAGTCAAATACTTGTGGAGTTAAGCTTAATTCACACCTTCTTTCGCCTTTTTTCTTCTTGCCAAAGTTCCTCCAAGTTTTCCCAGAAAGGAGTCATCTTTTTTCCTGGAGGAAGGCGATTTCGGGGAGGATGGTATTTTCTGCGGTGAAGAAGCCATTTGATCTGAAAAACAGCGGCTTTAATTCAGACGTGCAGTGTAAATAGCGGACTTTAAGTCGTGGGGAGTTCTTGAATTCTGCTAAACGGAAGTGGAATTCCAAACATTTCAGTGATGACTGGCTCTTGCTTCCCTTCTGCACGCGCGTTTCCCATTCCCGCCCTGACTGAAAAAACTGACTGACTGACTGGACTCTACTTTCGCTTTAGGGACTTGAGTCCAGCTCTCATCTTTATATTTCGTATTATATTTAGGAAAACACTAATCGCTTAGCTTGGTTTTCATTATTTATTTGCATAATTAGCACATTTAATCAAAATTGACAGGTGTCAGGTTTTGTTATTTTCGCTAACTAAATCAAAACAAATCAATCTAAAGGGACAGTTCACCCCAAGTTCGAGGTTAAAGGGTTCACAAATGACAAATCTGTGATCATTTACTCATCATGTAGGCTACTTGTTTCAAACCTTTCTGAGTTTCTTTCTTTTAAAAGTAGATAATTTTTAACGCTTGAAGAAAGCTGGAAACCTGTAACTATTGACTTCGACAGTTAGATTTTCCTACAATTGAAGTCAATGGTTAGTTTTTCAGCTTTTTCCATAATTGCTTCTTTTGTGCCTAATATCAATATGACTATGACTTCTTGGTAATTCCCTGTGATGGTAAAACTTAGCTAGCTGTCTATCATTGATGAAACAAAGTATTTTGATTACATAACTGTCAACATTGGGACGTGAAAAAAAAAACTGTGGTCTTGAATTGGAATTTAACTTTGCTGGTTGATGATGAGGGTGACGCAGTGGCACGGTAGGTAATGTTGTCGCCTCACAGCAAGATGGGCATCCGCTGTGTAAAAAACGGGCTGGATAAGTTGGCGGTTCATACCGTTGTGGCGAAGCCGGAAAAAATACATGAATGAATGGTTGATGATGGCATTACACAAGGACACTTAGCTGCATCCGAAATTGCATACTTCCACTATAGCCTATAGTACACTAAAAACAATATGTGAGCCGAGTAGTACACTGAAAAAAATTCATTCATTCATTTATTTTCTTGTCGGCTTAGTCCCTTCCAGTCGCAACCCATCTCTGGGAAAAATTCACACATACATTTACACACACACTCATACACTACTTCTCCCTGAAAAAAAATTATGTGTGCAAATGTTGCAAACTATATGTGTTGAATTTAAACATGGGCTGCATGGTGCTGCAGTGGGTAGCACACATTTCATTTGAGTTGAATATGAAGCACTTTAAAGAGATTTTGTCTGAAACAGGTACAACGGTACAAACAACTTTATAATCTGTCCATGTGTGATCATAGGGAGAATCAGATGGCCAATGATTATTAGCTAGAAATTGCAACAGTGGGAAAGGAGGAAAGTTTTTGTTAAAATGTTTGGAAAACATTACTTGTTAACTTTGAGGGATAAGTATGTACTGGCCCGTTATTGTGAAGAAGGACCTAAGTCAAAAGGCAAAGTTCTCCTTGTACTACATACAGAAAAACTGTATGTTTTCCCACTATTTATAGGTTTGACACGGATGTATATATTACAATTTAGAATTTAAACCAACTTAATAGTTACAACACTATTCAACTTAAATCAAACACGGCGCGCAGAAACTGTTCTCACGAGTTTCTTGAACAATTAGTTTCACTTAAGTGTCCCTAGCTGGGTTAGGGTTAGGGTTAGGGTTATTTGACCATAGCCTCACTCTTTTTATTCATTATTTTGCCGCAGCGCCGCTCATCTTATTTATTTTCTCGCAGCCCCGTGAGCAAAATGCAGCCTGCAGGTTAACTAACGTTAATGATGATGTAACGTTAGCTATAATCATTCGACCCCAAACAGCGAATTCGAATTATTAATATTATTGTATAATAAACCTGCTCAATGAAAATCAGATGATTCACTACATTAATAAATATAAAATAAATCTAAAAAGGGGAGAAAAAGATTAAGCCATCAATAAAAAGTAATACCGTGTCTTGAAGGTCACAGTCCAATACTTTTTTTTCATTGTCGTTGCATTAGCGCTATAGTGGACCAGTGTCAAACACGTTGCGTAGCTATGCCGTCTGACACGTGTTCGAATCTCACCGGGAAAATTATTATTATTATTTTTTTTTCATTTTTATTGATAAGACATATAATACTGTTAGGGCTTTTGAACATTTGAATTTCTAAAGCAGCTGTTGAGCTTCTTGAAAAAGACGTGATAGTGTCACTAAAAGCAGAATTGGAAATGACCTTATTTTAATATAGACAGTCGTGAACTGAGGTGGGCCGGTCTGGCTTCAAACTCCAGGACTGAAAATGAGTCCCACTCCGGCCCTGCAAACCAGGCTTCAAACAGCTGCCCCGGGACCCGGCCGCGGAAAAGCAGATGAAAATGAATGAATGAATATGCTACTCATCAGATTTTACTAATAGTGTAAATTTTTATGTGGTATTTATGAGTAGTGGGATGTAATATCGCCCTAACCTCCTAACTAATCCCTAACCCCAACCTCAGAACAATTCCAATAGTGTTGTTAGCATAATCTGATGGGTAGAATAAAATGTCTAAAATAAAATAAAATAAGAATAAAATGACACCGCCACTCTAAACGTAAAGTAAATGGTCACACTTTGATTGAAGATTACCACAAACTTAACGTGCACAGATGAATTTTGTCACCAAAAGAATAGCACACACTACCAAAATAAACATTGCAAATTTGGATTTCACACATCACACAATGTATCAATAGCTGTGTTCAGCTACTGTCCGTGACCTGCATTACCTCCTAAAGACACTCAATAATTAATCACACTGATAAACCGCCAGACATGTTATTTATTAATGTACACTGTTACACACGTTGCTGTTCCTTTTTTGTATCAAACCATTTGTTTCTTAATAAACGTGGCTCTGTGACACTTTAGAGGAAGTAATCACTATGCTTTTCACTCATCATTTAGCCGCGACTGGCTACTTACTCGTCTAAAACTCATTTAGTACAATGAGAAGCTTGGCCTAACAAAGACCCCATTCAGTTCGTAAGCCTTTTTCTCCCTCCCTCTGATACAATTATCTCCACAAAGCCATGTAAACAAGAAGCACAATGGACACAGCCTTGCCCTGGGCTGTCATTAGAGCAGATTTTCCATGCAGTTATGCTCGAAAATCTTATGCATGGTCCTTTTTGGAGACTGGGAGGAGCCCACGAGGGGTAAAACTCTATCATTGCAAAACAAGGCCAGCGCTCTGCCTTGACACATAGCCTGACCTTTCTTCCTAGGACACAGCTTTTTTTAATCACCAAGCCGTGCTGAGTCATGGACACGGACGTGAATCCGAATAGATAATAAATTCTGATATGAATGCATAATGAAATAATTGTGCACAGTTGTGTTAAGTTGCCCAAGGATTTCTCGGATGAGAGAACGCCGTGTTTCCATTCCAAAATAAAAGTGTTTTCTGTGCCGACCTTTGCTAAAATCATGGTGCTGTTTTAAAGCCTTTCAGAGGATGAAGACAGAAAAAAAAAAGTTAAATGATGATTGTGAGCTTTTTCTGGCCCATCTTTAAGTCATTATGTCCGCCTCATCATACGATGCAATTTTCACTTCATTTCTGAATGCTAATAGCTGTGTTGTGCGCGTTTCTGTATATATATATTCACCTATTCAAATGAAAACATGGCCCATCTTCAGTTGTAATCTACTATTACAGGAGAGGACAAAAGCAAGGAAACAAGCAAGGACTATTGACCTCTGGAACAGCTTCTAGTTTACGCTACACAACAAGCCCCCCTCGATATTTTCAATTCAGGGGGAAAGACAGCGTGGGGTCAGGCTGTGAGCTCTTGACACCTTCACTGTGAGGTCAATACGGCACCGTTGCCATTTTCTGCCACACTGAAAGAAGACTTATGAACATTTCATTTCATACATACTTCATATGTCAGGTGTTGTCTGTGAGGATATGATTAAGAAATTCATTCATTTTCTTTTCAGCTTAGTTCTTTTATTAATCTGGGGTCGCCACAGTGGAATGAACCGCCAACTTATCCAGCATATGTTTTACGCAGCGGGTGCCCTTCCAGCAGCAACACATCACAGGGAAACACCCATACACACTCATTCACACACATACACTACGGACAATTTAGCTTACCCAGTTCACCTATACCATGTCTTTGGACTTGTAGGGGAAACCGGAGCACCAGGAGGAAACCCACGCGAACACGGGGAGAACATGCAAACTCCACACAGAAACTCCAACTGACCTTCTTGCTGTGACGATAACCGATAATCCTACTGTTTATGTTAGGTTTTTTTCAATGACTATTTTATTTAATTTTTAGGACCACAGTATCTCCAGCAGAAAAGGATCCTCCACTTTAAAAGCTACTGATCAGCCAAATATTCAAGAAACATTTTAAAAACATGTAAAAAATCTGTGCTTTTGAATTTAATGAAGACAGCAGAAGCCAATGATTTATTTTAACTATTTAGCCTGACATGTTTACTGCTCCAAAATATTTGAAATGTTTCTTAAAATAAAATGTATCGCTGTTTTTTTTACACTGTAAATGGGGTCTAGCGACGTCCCTGGGTGTAACGCCAGTGTCTTGGCCAAATTCCGTCCATCGGCCCTTACCCATCATGGCCTCCCAATCATCCCCATCCACTGAATTAGCTCTATCATTGTCTCTCCACTCCACCTATAGCTGGTGTGTGATGCGCGGCAGGCCAGAGTCCCAGTGGCAGGCCAGATTGCCCGTCAGGCCACCGGGATATGTTCCGGAGCTCCCTATAACCAGTCCACCCCTGCACATTTCATTACAACATGCAAACTCCACACAGAAATGCCAACTGGCCCAGCCAGAACTCAAACCAGCGATCTTCTTGCTGTGAGGCAACAGTGCTAACAACTAAGCCACCGTGTTGCCCTCTTAAAGGGATTGTTTACCCCCCAAAAAATCGACTATCTCATTTATTCTCCCTATTAAATTTTTCTTCTGTTGAACACAAACACTATTTTAAAGACTGCTGGTACCCACCGACTTCCACATTATTTTTTT